TAGTATTTGAACTTCGAAAGACACAACACATCCGGATCTTGATTCCATACCCAAAACAATTACTTTACTAAATATAATATTTAAACTAATATATCTTATGAGTAATTAAGTTGAATTAACCTTGTCTTTGTACATTGATATTATTTATTTGGTTCTAATCAAATTGGAGTTGTATTAAGAAAAAGAATATCCGATCAAGAAATGAGAGCGAAGAAGAACATTATTAAAGCAATTTAAATTCTTGGACGACCATTGGATCATATGTGATTCTTCTACTTGTAATCGAATAAAAGGAACAAAAGTGGTTCCATGTCACCAAAACAGTCAAAGTTTCAAAATATCATTCTTTATCAATTGGATACGAGACAAATAGACACATCATACATCTTAGCTTGGTTAACCATGGGGTGATGCCAATATCCATGATAATTATACCAGAGGAATTGATTCCTCAATCAAAAAAGTAAATATCGATAATTTGATCCTATTAAGAATTTAAACCTTAATTTAGCATACAAGATAAAGTATCTATATTACTTAGGATAACGACTTCAACGATCAGAGATGTTTTGCTAATTCGATTAATTAAGTTTGGTCCCACAAGGTGGGGAGATACAGTGACTTACCCTGACATATATATATAATGTATGGATTTGGCCTAAGACTTGTGCTCAGAAAATTGCAGAAAGCAGAAACATAGACATAGTTATCACTTTTCTTGATTCTTTTTTCATTGAGCAAGAAATGAAAACTCAGGCAGACCTTGGTAGCTTTGGCCAGCAGAAGAGTTTATGGAACCTTTCATCAGAGCCTCAACAACTGTGTCAGTACAAATTTTATCCAACCTATTTGACTGCCAAGGCCATCCAGATGAAAGTAGAGGACATCAAATGCAATGAAGCTGCTTCAAGATTCACGGTTGAAAACAGAACAGAGTTTCAACAAAGAGGCTTGGTTGGGTGATATGATTATGCTTTGTGACAGAGGGTAATCTTCACAGTAGGGAGTAATGGGTAGTATTTTCCTTTTTCTTCTTATTGTAATTTTACACTTCATCTCTGTTCTTCTTGCAAACTGTTAGTACTTCTCTCCTACCATATCACTACGTATGAATCAGCTGGAAGATCCATACCATTGTCTTCAGTGTTATGCAGGAAAAAGTATTATTGAACTCCCTAGGCTTATGCTTTTCCTGTCAGCTATGTACAAATCAAAGCTAATGTACTTATGCAAACTCTGATATGCAAGCTTGAGGATCTTTTCAATTTCTAAAGTTCAATTCCAAACCTTAGATCAGTTTTTCTAACAGGATCGAATTCAATATACCTTGATATTCATATGATATATGATATAGCGAATTTCCCTCAATACCTTTCTTTTCATTCCTTCAACTGCTTCCTTTGAAATCTTTTCCACTTTGAATTTTCTGAGACAAAAAGAAGTTAAGAAAATGAATTGGAGTGAAAATATTTGATGATATACAGTTGAATGATTAACCAGAACACGTTGTTACTTTCTTATTAGCATCACCTAATGTTAAATTTCATGCTATTGGTAAGTAATTAATATTCTTCGAAAATAAAGTCTTACTGTCTTGTATATATAATTTTCAGGCAAATTCTCTATAATATAGGATCAAGTACTTTCATGCGACTTGTAATTTAAAAAATATATATATACATATTATCAACATGTATGTTAATAAATATTCGGTTAATTTTTCCATTTGTGGGAAAATTTATTTCCTATTTTATAACAAGACATCCGTTTGTAGGCATATTAACAATAGAAAATTATTGTATAAGATACATGATTGACTATAGGTTTGAAAATATTGATAGATAAAAATAATGGTAGTATAATAATATATCCAAATATGCGCTGCGAGATGAATTGGGTGGTGAAGGCATATATTTGTGGTGTTGTGGAGACAGCATATAATTTTGAACCAATTAATGAAGGGAGGAATTAAGTAGTAATCTGTTTTTCCTTTTTGTTTTGTCGGTAGTTGCTGTGAGGATGTGGCAGCTCCTGAATGGTCCACACAGAAAGATGACTAAATTTAGCTAAACTAAATAAGCCAGAAATTAAAAGGCGAATTTTTCCTCCGTTGATTTAGATCGACCGTTTATTCTGCCAAGAAATATGTTGTAAAACAGTGGCAGAGAAAGAAGGATTATTTCCCCTTTCATTTCCTAGCCTCCCCAAGGAGGCCTATATGTTCAAACTTTGAAGGCTAAAAAACAATAAAAACAAGAAATAAATAAAGTAAAAGTGTAAGGCATTGGGGGTGCAATGGCCATTGCAAAGAGCGCTGTTCTTATCTTGCTCTTTGCATTGGTCTGCAACGCGAACGGAGCACCAAAACTACCACGTATTGCTGGTCCCGACATGTTCAAGAATAAAAATGTGGCTAAGGATGTTCTACTTCCTGGCGAGCAAATAATTAACGTCATGGATTTTGGAGCCAAACCTGATGGCAGGTTCGATTGCACCCAGGTAAATAATTCTTGAAAAAACAAACTTCTTACGTCGATCATCATTGAAATTATAACTCATATATTGATTGTGGATGAGTTTGATTCACAGTCATTTCTTTGTCTACACCTTATAATGTGGTCTTCGTTTCAATCCATTATACGTATTCTTATAGATAGATCGGAAATAGGGCTTATACATTGGGTGTATATAAATGCAGGCGTTCATGGATGCATGGCAAAAGTTGTGCCATCAAACGACGGGGCCAGCGAGGCTTTTGATTCCTGAAGGCAGATTCTTGGTTTCGTCTATGTATTTCAGTGGACCATGCACTTGTCAAACTCCAGTAACAATTCAAGTTAAAGGGTATGTGATGGCTACCACGGATATTTCGGAGTATGAAAACGGCGACTGGCTCATATTCGAGAAGCACAATGGCTTGAAAATTATTGGCGGGGGCACTTTCGATGGACAGGGAAAGAAGTCGTGGGAGTACTCCGAGAATTGCGAATCTGGTGCAGACAATGTTTGCGCCAGGAATCCAAGCGTAAGCAATAACACATTTCATCGACATATCTTGATGGTATAAGGATGTATTTTTTACTAATTAAGCTCGTATGTCTGTGTATGGGAGAATGCAGAGCCTTTTCTTCAGCGATAGCAGCAACGTGGTTGTACAGGGCATCAGGACTGCTAATCCCAAAGGCTTTCACATATTCGTTACCAAATGTACAAACGTAAGATTGAGAAAACTGAAGCTGGTTGCCCCGGAAACCAGCCCCAACACTGATGGCATCCATGTCAGCCACTCTGACACCGTGATTATGTCCAGAAACACCATTGCAACTGGGGATGATTGCATCTCTATGATACAAGGAGTGAAAAATGTTTTCATCAACAGACTCAAGTGTGGCCCTGGCCACGGTATAAGGTAATACCAGATGCACACACACACACACACACACAAGTTCTTACTCAAACGTTTCCTTCTCATCCTAATTAATTTTGTCAATATATAAATATGATGCAGTATCGGTAGCCTTGGGAAATATCAGAATGAGGAAGAGGTGAGAGGCATTCGCATCCAGAATTGCTCATTGATCAACACAACCAATGGCCTCAGAGTGAAAGCATGGCCAGATAGATTTGCAGGTGCAGCCTCAGACATAAGCTTCAGTAACATTGTCATGCAAAATGTCAGGAACCCTATCATCATTGACCAAGAGTATGAATGTTATCCAGACTGCAAAAAGAAGGTAATCAATTGGTTTGTTTTTCTTTTTGCTTTCTCTCCTTTCTTTGAGATAAACGTTATGCATATGCTAATTGTTGCATTGGCTTATTTTGCATACACACAGCCGTCACTCGTAAGGATCCAAAATGTTCATTTCCAAAATGTGAAAGGAACAACAACTTCACCACTTGCAGTGGACTTAAGGTGCAGCAAGCTGTTTGGATGCCAAGGTGTTACAGTTAGAGACATTGACCTGAAGTTTGGAGACGCCCCAACCACCTCAAGATGTGTCAATACTCAACCTCTCTTTTCTGGTTTGCTAATGCCCCCAGCTTGCGCATAGGTGTCATGCCTTATTGTGATTTTTAGATCGAGCTATAACGGGAGTTTACATATGCTAGGACATGTTTGTATGGGGGAAAATGTTCTTGTTTTTTTGAGGAATGGTTTTCGTTCACGTTTGATTGATTAACTAAATAAAGTTAAAACGCCTTCAATGCCTACTATGTCTACTATGCTTTCATGGGTTGCCACACTCTGAATTTATGATGGAGTTTCTTATATGCATCTTTCCTAGTTAGTCGTTACTAACTCCAATTGCTTTCATACTCGGATGAACTCTTCAATGCTTACTTTTTTTACTATATTCAAAGTTTCAAACCGATTTCGTACTGAGTCGTGACTGGCATACTTGAATATGCTTTATACAACAGAAAAGTTAGAAAAGGAAAGGTCACATTTTCCCTCTAATAAGGCAAATCAACTTTGCTGCCAACGTTTTGATTTTGAGAATATCTATCCATTATCTGCTTTCTAATAGTTGCAGTTCCCTGATCTTAGTTAACTGCTAGAAAATGCTCACTTTGTGCTTCTATATATTTCTTTTACATATTATAGTTTTTTTTTCATTGCTTGCTGTCGAACAGTGGAAACTAACTTCTATCAAAGAGTTTGATTCAACAAAAAAATAGGTCAAACACAGGAACTGATCTCCTTCGTAAATTTGACTGACATCAAAAATGTGATATTAACTTTACCTATTCGCGTTTCTAAAAATCAAGAATAGCATCACTAGTATTTCTTAGAAAACTGGCTAAGGGGGAAGTTTTATATCAGAAACAGACTAATATCTATAAAGAAAAAGAGTATTCATTCTTTTATCTTAACGTTTTATACTAGAGATAATGTTTTAATCCCTTGTACAAGTGATTGATTGATATTAAATATTTCTGATGTCTCTTCTTAAAGAATTCAAACTCTACCAACATGATGTGAAAAAGTTATCTTTGCATATTAAAAAGAACACTTGTTGAATGCGGTGTAAAGAAATCAAACAGCAACAAAGTAAACAAAAAAGTCTGTTCTGGATGAAAATGAAAACATCGTATTTTATATCATTGATTGCATCAACAATTCACCACCCCTTTCGGCTAATTTTCTCCTCAACTCATAAACAGAGACCATAAACTGTTCCAACTCACTTTGACTCATCTGATCAATAGGGTCCTCCCACCACCTTCTGTTACACCCCTTATTAGCCAGAGTTTCAGTTTCTCTGAGATTCTTCTTTTCCAACTCCAACTTCTTCATTGCCTCCTCGTATTGCTTGTTGCACTCTTCATACGACACTGATCTCTCCCTTGATTCCGGTGGATCAAACACTTTGGAACCTTTAAGGTAGCTTTCGACAATGCCCTCGAAGTCTGGATGACCGAAGCAGAACAATTTTTCAGCAGGAGAAAACACAATAATGGCTATATTGACATTGCACAAAATGCAGAGTTCACTCGCTTTTTTGAATAGCCCTGTTCTTCTTTTTGAGAATGTCACTTGCTTGTTGCTAGACTTCTCGATCTTCTTTATCTCGATCTTCTTCCGCCCTGCCTTTTTCTTCTGCTGCTTAAACGCATCAATGTCTGAAGAAAAATTCTGGTTGTTCATGCCTAAAGGAAAAGAAGGGTTTTCCATGCCTAAAGATTACCTTGCTTCAGACGATTCATGCATAATATTTATAATGGAAGATGCATGCTTGATTTATCCTTTCTTGCAATAAAATCTTATTATCACTACCTCGTCTTAGATTATATTATATATGTTTATAATTTATAATTTATAATAAATTGATTATTATAACCTACTGCTGATTTATCCTCATAACAGAATCCTGCAATCATGCTGTTTCTTGAATTATAAATCAATCAAGAAATAATTAGATTTTCTTGTAAAAAAGTAGGTATATATTTATATTTAGATTCTTGGTTCCAATTACCATGATGGTATCTTGTTTTGGAAAAAGAAAATATTTGTGTTTATGGGAAACAAGTTCTCGTTTCGGAAGTTTTATCCTTTCTTTACGGCACGTGCGTGTATAGTTCTTTAGTCAACAAGATTATATTTGAATAATTTACAATAATTCTTGTACTAAATAGCATCTTGAGAATACACAATCTTGTTGATAAAAATAGTAATTTTTTATAATCGTATTTTAATATAGACTATATTTACCATTTTTATTGATGGTTAATATAGGTTAGACTGATTAACTTTCTTTAATGGAAACAGAATATGTGGTATACATATAATCAATAATAAATACTTTTTGAAATAACAAAATATTTAAGGTATATCTTCCGTGAGCATAAGAAAATGTCATATGCTCTCATCTGAATTTAATTCCAGTTTATACGTGTTATATATTTCTACAAAACTCGAATATATGTTAGTAAAAATATTATTTCCATCACCAGTAGGCCCTATGGAAAAAATATTTTTTAAATCGTCTATAAGCTAAATAGTCTTACTTTTCAAGTATGGTAATATCCATCAATTGTTTTAAATTAATTTATTATGTAATTATTCTCATTTTAAGATATTTTGGAATCTTGCATAAAATAGTCAATTCTTCCTAAATCATTTATCTTATTTTATTTTATTGACATGTTGTATTTTGACTTATTTGATTGATTCTAATTATGTTAGGTAGTGAGATAATTGATAGACTACAATTGTATTGATTGATATATCAATTAATGTGGGTTATGTAAATTGATTATTTTATGTGCGTACAAATATGTTTATAAGATGTGGGAGATATGCTAATTATAAATAGGTTGTATAAGTAGTTTGCCTGTGGTTCAAACAACCACCGGAATTCAGGTAATCTGTTTATATCTTATTCTGTTTATATTTTTGGCTTATATCAGCTCAGGATCCATGAGATAAATTATAAATACAAGCCAGGGCCAAAAGCCAGGTACGTTCCACGTAAACGTTCACTACTTCACATGACTCTCAAATACTCAATAGTGATAACCATTCACTAAATATTCAACCAAGAGCCGAGGCTCTTCAAATCACACGCCTAACTTGGGCGTCGGAGTACCTTTTTGCAGGTACATCCCCCTCTCAAGAAGGAGACCGATCGGTTTGCGCAACACCGATCGGCCAACAGGAGGGAGTTTGGAAGCGAGCGAGCGGCCCAGACGCGTCAGCAGGTTAGTTCTCTCGGTCCTAAAAGTATCTACCGAAACATTTTGGCGCCCACCGTGGGGCCGAGCGTCAAACCCATGATGACCACAGGAGCATGGAGGAACAACAAAGCACCAGAAAGATTATTAGAAACCACAAGAAACCAAGACGAGCGTTCGGTCTCGACATCACTATTCGGATCAACACGAGAAACTTTCGACAAAGTAAAAACTAACGTGAGACGTCGTCAACAAGATAAGTATTTTTTGAAATATGAATATTTCATAAAATATCTAATTGATAATAGATATTATAACAAACTATTTTTATGTTAAATATATATATAATCCAAAATATATTATATGATATATGATATATAATATAGTACATAACTATAAATATAGTTATCTAATTATTATAACCGAAACATTTTCTGGCATGATTCAAATAGTCAAATAAATTATTGTGTTAGAGATAACTATCAACACAATATTAAAATCTCGAAACGGTTTTTTGATACCTTGTTTAATTATCTATGTTATTTATTCGGTGCAATTCATAATATCTGGTAACCGAATCATTTATTATACGGTTATATACTAATATATATCATCATGAGAATTTTCAGCAATGAACATCTTGAACAAATATATATCGAAATCCACGCCATCATCAACTATGCAAGTGCAGACTAAGATCTAGTCATAAACAAACTTCATGCTTTAAAGTACATGGAATTCAATTAACGAAGGGGAAGTCTCCTATGCAAACACTGATTGCCAATTTGTCAGCAAAGTCATAATTAACGATCAAGTCCAAGACCGACGGTAAATCCCTCTCGGGAGAGAGGTAAGCCCTCTCAAAGCCGAACGTGTAAAGCCCGTTCCCTAGAAAGCACTCCTAGGTCGAAGACCGACGGTAATACCCCCTCGGGAGAGGGTAAAGTCCTCTCAAGACGAACGGTAAATCCCGTTCACTAGGAAACAATCCTAGCTCCAAACAGAGGTAAAACACCTCTCAAAGCCGTAACGGAAAAAGCCCGTTCCCTAGGAGCACTCCTAGGTCGAAGACCGAGCGGTAAATCCCCCTCGGAAGAGAGGTAAAGTCCTCTCAAAGACGAACGGTAAAAAATTCCCGTTCACACTAGGAACAATCCTAAACTCAAAACAGAGGTAAAACCCTCTCAAAGCCGAACGGTAAAGCCCGTTCCCTAGGAAGCCCTCCTAGTCGAAGACCGAGCGGTAAAATCCTCTCGGGAGAGAGGTAAAGCCCTCTCCAAGACGAACGGTAAGTCCTAGGTTAAAGTTGAAGACCGAGAGATAAATTCCTTTCGGTTCCTGTTGAAGGACAGCGTAAATTCCGCTCGGTTAATGTCGAAGGCCGAGAGGTAAATCCCTCTCGGTTCATGTTGAAGGAACAGCGGTATTCCGCTCGGTTAATGTCAAAAGCCGAGAGGTAAATCCCTCTCGGTTCATGTTGAAGGTCAGAGGTAAACCCTCTCGGTTAAAGTCGAAGGTCGAGAGGTAAATACCCTCTCGGTTAATGTTGAAGGTCGAGAGGTAAAAACCCCTCCTGTTAAAGTCGAAGGTCGAGAGGTAAACCCCTCTCGGTTAAAGAATCGAAGTCGAGAGTAAACCCTCTTAAAGTCGAAGGTCGAGAGGTAAATCCCTCTCGGTTAATGTTGAAGGTCGAGAGGTAAAATCCCTCTCGGTTAATGTGGAAGTCGAGAGGTAAACCCCCTCTCGGTTAATGTCGAAGGTCGAGAGTAAAACCCCTCTCGGTAAATTGTGGAAGGTCGAGAGGTAAATCCCTCTCGGTTAATGTTGAAGGTCGAAGGTAACTATCCTCTCTCGGTTAATGTGGAAGGTCGAGAGGTAAATTCCCTCTCGGTTAATGATGCGAAGGTCGAGAGTAAACCCCTCTCGGTTAATGTGGAAGGGTCGAGAGGTAAATCCCTCTCGGTTAATGTCGAAGGTCGAGAGGTAAACCCCTCTCGGTAAATGTGGAAGGTCGAGAGGTAAATCCCTCTCGGTTAATGTCGAAGGTCGAGAGGTAAACCCCTCTCGGTTAAAGTCGAAGGTCGAGAGGTAAACCCCTCTCGGTTAAAGTGGAAGGTCGAGAGGTAAATCCCTCTCGGTTAAGTGTCGAAGGTCGAGAGGTAAACCCCTCTCGGTAAATGTGGAAGGTCTATAGTAAATCCCTCTCGGTTAATGTTGAAGGTCGAGAGGTAAAATCCCTTTCGGTTAATGTGAAAGTCGAGAGGTAAATCACTCTCGGTTATGCCGAAGGTCGAGAGGTAAACCCTCTCGGTTAATCGAAGGTCGAGAGGTAAACCCTCTCGATTAAGTCGAAGGTCGAGAGGTAAACCCTCTCGGTTTAAGTAGAAGGTCGAGAGTAAAGCCCTCTGGTAAATGTCGAAACGAGAGGTAAACTCCTCTCGTTTCCTGTTAAAGACGAGCTGTAAATCCAGCTCGGTTAGTGTCGATCGTCGAGCGTCGATCGTCGAGCGTCGATCGACGAGCTGTAAATCCCGCTCGGTTAATGTTGAAAGACGAGCGGTCACATCCCTCTCGGATAATGTGAAGACCGAGAGGTAAATTCCTCTCGGTTCATGTTGAAGGAACGAGCGGTAAAATCCCGCTCGGTTAATGTGGAAGGTCGAGAGGTAAATCCCTCTCGGTTAATGTCGAAGGTCGAGAGGTAAAACCCCCTCTCGGTTAAATCGAAGTCGAGAGGTAAACCCTCTCGATTAAAGTCGAAGGTCGAGAGGTAAATCCCTCTCGTTTAAAGTAGAAGGTCGGAGGTAAAGCCCTCTCGTTTAATGTCGAAGACCGAAGGTAAACTCCCTCTCGGTTCCTGTTGAAAGCGAGCTGTAAAATCCAGCTCGTTAGTGTCGATCGTCGAGCGTCGATCGTCGAGCGTCGATCGACGAGCTGGTAAATCCCGCTCGGTTAATGTTGAAAGACGAGCGGTCAATCCCTCTTCGATAATGTTGAAGACCGAGAGGTAAATTCCTCTCGTTCATGTTGAAGGACGAGCGGTAAATCCCGCTCGTGTTAAAGTCGAAGGCCAGAGGTAAATTCCTCCTCTGTTCATGTTGAAGGACGAGCGGTAATCCCCGCTCGGTTAAAGTCGAAGGCCGAGAGGTAAATCCCTCTCGGTTCATGTTGAAGGACGAGCGGTACATCCCGCTCGGTTAATGTCGAGGGTCGAGAGGTAAACCCTCTCGGTTAACGTAGAAGACCGAAGGTAAATTCCTCTCTGGTTCCTATTGAAGGACGAGCGGTAAATTCCGCTCCGGTTAATGTTGAAAGTCGAGCGGTAAAACGCTTTCAATTCCGCCAACACAGCCTCCCTCAAACTCATCAGTCCTATAGTTAACCACGGCTAAGCCAACCGCTTAACTCGGACTTGGGGGTCATAATGTATAGTATAAATATTAACCGAGTGGTTACAAACAAACCACCAACCGGATATTCAGGTAATCTGTTTTATATCTT